CACCTTCTCTTGTAGCACTGCTGTGAACAAAATAACCCAAAGCAAAGTTATTTGAGCAAAGGGAACATTTGGCTGGGCTGGGTTAGCCCTGGGAACAGCAGCTAGAATCCTCAGGGACAGCCACTGAAAGAGAATCCGATGATGTGGTCTTGGGGAGAATCAGGGAGCCTTGCAGGCACCATGGGAGCCTGCTCAACGAGAGGAAAGTCACGCTAGGGAGTGGAGACCTAGCCAACTACCCATCGCTAGTGAGATCATGGATCTTGGAGGAGAACCGGTAACCACTTTACTAAACTAGCATAATCCCTTACTGGGTTCTAAATATTTATCCTTATACCCACATGTCACTGTAGTTCTCACCTCTAAAGAAGCTTCTCTTTGCAACAGATGGAGAGCATTACAGGAAACCACACCTAATTAAAATGCAGAGAATAAGTGATGGTGTGGTTCCTTACCACAACTGATGTACCTACAATATGACTCCTGCATCGAAGGCTCAGGCATCACTGCGTAAGAGGGGAGTGTTATGGGATATTTGTACATTATGTGAAGATACATTGCAGTGGTTGGTTTAATAAAGAGCCGAATGGCCAATAGCTAGGCAGGAGGTATAGGTGGGACGTCTAGGCAGAGAGAGAAAGGAGGAGGAGATAATCAAGGCACAGAGGAGACACCAATGAGACATGGAGGGAGTCAGACATACAGAATTAAAGAAAGGTAAAAAGTCACATGGTAAAATGTAGATTAATAAAAATGGGTTAATCTAAGTTATAAGAGCTAGTTAGGAACAAGCCTAAGCTGTAGTCTAAGATTTCATAATCAATATTGAGTCTCCATATTGTTATTTGGGAGCTAGCTGGCAGGACAGACAAAGACTTGTTACAGGCATGAAAAGATTGCAAGAGCCAGAGGGACAGGAAGTCTGCTGTGAGACTGTGTTTCCTCAAAATGACAGAGAAGCTACATCCATGTTTCAACATGGCTGCCTAAACAAGACCTAAAGAAGGATAACACCAATAGCCATGCTGGTATGATGTTGGGTAATTTCACAGGGCCTCAACCCTAGACAAAGAAATACAGTCAACTAGGGAATGCTGAGGGTGGGTGAAATCATCTTCCTCAGGCAAGAGCACCAAGATTGGTTATCCAATAACAATTGGTCAGCCCTGAAAACATTTCCATACAAGTAGCATTAAAGAGATGGAGCAGGTCGTATTTATATATTTAGGAGTGTGTGTGTGTGTGTGTGTGTGTGTGTATGTACAATTATAGAAAAAGAGGCATGAATTTGAGAGTGCAAGGGGGCACATGGGGGGGAGATGGAGGGAAGAAAGGGAAGGGTGAAAATGATGTAATTATAGGTTAACTTCAAACAATTATTTTAAATCGGGGCCGTGGGAGAGGATGCACTGTGTAACTGCTCTCCAAATTGTCCCATGCAGCATCACTGCTCTCTGGCATGACTCGTGCACAGGTGCCCTTTGAATCTCCATCACTTTCTTCTCTTCATTTTTCACTTACTCACAGTCTCAGAGGAAATAGGTATTGTTTCTGGTAGATGAGATGCTTGGAGCTTTTGGAAGTAGCAGTGGTCCGTTAAGAACTATTTAAGCATGGAGCCTGCAAAGGTCTGAGCTAGGGCCTTTACATATATGTATAGTTATATAGCTTTGTGTTCTCATGGGACTCCTACAGTGTGAGTGTGTGTGGGTCAACTGGATGGAGTGGAGGGAGGGGAAAACTGTGGTCAAGATGTAATTTATGAGAGAAGAAAAAGAAAAGATGTGTTTAAGCAGTGTTTCTCAATCTTCCTAATGCTGTGACCCTTTAATACAGTTCTTCATGTTGTGGTGACCCCCAACCAAAAATTACTTTAGTTGCTACTTCATAACTGCAATTTTGCTACTGCTATGAATAGTAATGTGTGGTGATATATCGTGTACCCCAATAAAACTTATCTGGGGATCAGAGGACAGAGACAGCCACTAGATCAGACATAGAGGCCAAACAGTGATGGCACACACCCTTAATCCTATCACTCAGGAGACAGAGAGCTGTCTGGATCTCTGTGAGTTCAAGGCCACACTGGGAACAGAGCCAGGTGTGGTAGCACACACCTTTAATCCCAACACTTGAGATCACATGCCTTTCCTTTCATCCCAGAAAGTAAGATGGCAGGGCAGAAAAAGGTATATAAGGTGTGAGGAAACAGGAACTCACTGTCTTGAGGCTGAAGATTTCGTCGAGGTAAGAACTTGGCTGGCTTGTTCTGTTTCTCTGATCCCTCAGCTTTCACCCCAATATCTGGCTCCATTTTTTAAATTAATAAGCCTGTTTAGCAATTCGTGTTACAGTAATGTAAATAGTTTTGGCGACAGAGGTTTGCCTAAGGGGTCACAACCCACAGGTTAAGAACTGTTGTTTTAGAGAGGAAACACAAATCCTCCAAGAAGCAGTTCTTGCCTACAGCAGTTAGCGGTCTGGTGAAGGAGGCAGATAGACCACCAGGCAATCATGGTAGAGAGCCAATGCTCCTCAAGGCCCTGAGGAAGAAGGTTGTCATGTGCTCTATTCTGTGGGTGTGCCATGAGTCTGAGCAGAGAGCTTCCTGATTCAACCAGGGTCACTGTGCTCTGGAGGGAGGTAATGGTACAGTGAGAAGAAAGGGCAGGTGAGTGTGTTAGTTTCCAATTTCTGCTTTAACGCGTTACTGTAAATCTAGTGGCCTAAATGTCATCCTACATTTCTGGATAACCAAAGTCAGATATGTCTCTTCTGGGATAAAATGAACACGTGACAGGAGCTGGTGAGAGAAGCTGCTTCCCCACATCTAGAAGTCTTCTGCATGCCCTGGCTTGTGGCTCCTTCTTCTGTCGTCTTCCGGGTAAAGGGCCACATGTCGCTCACTACATGTTACTCTGCTGTTTCTGCTTCTCCTGTCATTAATGAGGACCCTTGACTCCAGTGGACCCCCTAGGGGCGATTTCCCCATGCCAAACTTCTGAGCTGTGCATGTGCAGCATCCCTTTCGCTAGGTAGAGAGCATCACAGGTTTTGGAGATTCAAGTGCAGGCATCTGGGTGGGAGGCGTTGTTCTGCTTCCCACAGTGAAGCAGAGGGCATTCCAGGAGAGTCATCTGAATGTACTTTATCAGAAGAACAGCTCAGATCTGAAACCGGTTTCCTTCCTGTACATTAATCTGGAGCTTGTGTTACACCTGTGAAACCTCATTAGTGGCCCCGTTCAAGTGAAGAGAAGAGCCCCAATTTGACAGCTCCCGGTAAAGAAAAATACAAATTAGACAGTGTTAGTTCCCGTAATGAAGCTGTGCAGAATTGTACTCTGTAAAATCACGTGTTTCCGACGGTTCAGCTGAAATCAGCTTCGTAGCAAAGCTGCTGCTGGACTCTCATACTTTGCTTGAGGAACTGGTCTCAATTAGTTCCTGCTTTTTTTTTTTTTTTTTCTATCCTCTTCACATTTTCATTCACAGGGCTCAAGCTGAGGAACCTCATGCTACCCCTGAATCACCACTGGCTTCCCCAGCCTGTGGCAGCCACAGCAGCTGCTCTTCCTGCTCTGGCAACAGCAACCCGCAGGGCGTTTGGGGTTCCACTGAGCCCTGTGTGGTGGTGGGTCCTACTGAAGAAAGGATAATGTGTGCTTGCTCTGTTGGGTGGGACAGAGATAGAGACCAGCCCCGGGTCTGTTATACTTCTCGTTCTTGGTGTCTACCATGAGGGTAGCAGCTGCAGTAGGTATAACTTCTTTTCTTTTTGACAGTAATAACTTTTTTTAAATTCTTACAATATAGTTGATCATGGCTCACCTGCATCTGCCCCGGACCCCCGCCTCCGGATCCTCTCCATTTTCCCATCCATCCAACTCCATGACTTCTCTCTCTTTAGAAAACAAACAGGAAAATGAAAAAGCAAACAAGCCTGGAACAAATCCATGAAAAAGCACAAGAAACACATACGTGTGTGTGTGTGTGTGTGTGTGTGTGTGTGTGTGTGTGTGTGTGTAAAAAACAACCCCTCAAAACACAAAATCAGAAACCATAATATATTAGCAAAAGACAGTAAGATAAAAAAAATGCACAAACAAAGCCATATGAACAAAAAATTCTACAAAAACACCATTGAGTTTGTGTTGACCCTCTACTGCTGGGCGCAGGGCCAGCCCTTCAGTACAGTTTATATAGTATACATTTGTTATTGTTAGAATTATAGACAGAGTTGATGACGAAGCTTTGATCATGACGGACATGCTCCTAATATACTTTTCTTTTATGTGTCCAGAATTTATAATAACATATTTAAACTCATATCATATTAGCAATATGATTAATTTTATATTATATTATATTTAATTCAATAAAATAAATGAAACTTCAGGCTTCATGGATTCTTAGTATAGTGTTTCAAGACAGGTTACACTGTGCTACACCAGTCTGTGCATTTTCCAGTGCCCTAAACTGGGGCAGCCATCAACCTTTTCTGTATTAATTGATTCACCCAGCAGTAGTTATAATTGGTGTTGGGGACTTAACTGTTTGTGTAAGTGGGAAGCAGTGATTCCTTTTGTACGACTTCTGATTTCAACGTTCTTTCCTCCTAAGCTGGTTTGCCCTTCCTGTGCCCTCTCTCTAAGTTCTTAGAGTCTATAGTTGGTGCAGCTGCCTGGCCCGGGGCGATCTGGCTGTCACTTGCTCATGTACAGATGTGAATAGTCCCGTGGATGCTGTTTGCTCAGCATCACCCATGTGGACAACACTTCAGACCCAACTTGTCCTGGAAAGACAGACAGACAGAGAAGAAGCGGAGGTCTGTTGAGTGTTTGCAGCTTGTGGGGCGTGGTTCTTAGAGTCAGGGGCTAGAGTGTCTGGCTCTGACGTCAGGGGTTTGCACTCGTGTTTTCGGGATGAGGGTTCTACAAGAGGAGGTGGGTGAGGGTTGCATGGGTGCTTTACAGGGGTGGTGATAGGCTCCTAACTCTTGCTGTAGGAAAAGTTCTATGTCCTGCCGACAACTAAGAATATATGAGGACAAAGCTTGGCAGCTACAGAGGAGTCCGAAAACCATCAGATGCTCACCCTATTACACCTTCTAGATTATCTCAGCCATTGGAGGCTGTTTCTCTGCTGTGAGCTAGGAGAGTAACAGAACCTGCCTTACAGAGCTGCAGGCAGGGGTAAATGAGACAAAGCTGGTAAGCCACGCGGAGTAGCGGCACAGGTCCTCCCAACAAATGAGTTCTCTGGCCCTGCATGAAAGCCTGTGTCTAAGGCAGTTCCGGGTTGTGCCTTGACACAATAGGACCATTTATTTTGCTGTTTTCACTTCACAACAGATGCCAACCAATTCAGTGGAGATTTGAGTGTCTACATTTGTTGGATCTGGGTCAGTGACAACCCATGGACAGGTGGGTGGGGAGCTAACCAATATGGCAGTGGTGAGAGGTGCCTTTTTCTGCCCCACTTCCACTTCAGGGAAGTATTGATGTTTGAAAAACTTCCCCCGGGACTCTTTGTCTTTTCAAAGAATTTATGAAGCCTTCATAAGGGGGGAACCTTTCATCTTAAAAAAATATTTCCCAACAAAGATGATGATGGGATGCAGAAGATGTTCTGATGGGGAAGTGGGAGCAGATATATATATACACATATCCATTCCACAGCAACTGCACAGACCTATGTCTGCTGAGGCCTCACCTGGCTCTCCCGTTGCTGGAGGTTTCTAATACAGGTGGTCTGTCCAGAAAAAGAGAAATCCAGCTGATGAGCCCTGGTGAGACAGGATGATGAAACTACCAGATCCAGAATGGGGAAGGGAATGGAGAAGCTTAGGAAACGATGAGTTGGGGACACGGGACACAGGTCTTAAACTTGGAAGAGAGACTCAGAGTAGCATTTTCAAATAGTAACTTGAAAGGGCTCTAAAAGGCTTATTTCATTGGAGGTATGTGATGATATTGTGTCCCCCAATATATTGTGCACCTTAATAAACTTGTCTGGGGTTAGAGAACAGAACAGTCACTAGACAGACATAGAGGCCAGAAAATGGTGGCACACACACCTTTAATCCTAGCATTCTGGAGGCAGAGATCCATCTGGATCTCTGTGATTTCAAGGCTACACTGGAAACAGCCAGGCATGGTGACTCATGCCTTTAATCCCAGGAAGTGATGGCAGGAAGCAGAAAGGTATATAGGGGTGAAGACCAGGAACTAGAGTTTGGTTAAGCTTCTAGGCTTTTAGCAGCAGTTTAGCTGAGATCCATTCAGATGAGGACACAGAGGCTTTCAGTCTGAGGAAGCGAGATCAGCTGAGGAATTGGTGAGGTGAGGTTAACTGTGGCTTGCTCTCTTTCTCTGATCATTCAGCATTTATCGCAATACCTGGCTCCAGGTTTGTTTTTATATTAATAAGATCTTTTAAGATTCCTGTTACAGAGGTAATCTTGGATGTTTATTTAAAATTGACAAAGGTAAGACATTATAGTTACACTGAGCCTAACAGACACCAAGACACAAGCAAAAGCCATCAGCCTAGGACGTCAGGTAAGACGAAAGACAGTTCAAGGTGAATGAGAGAGTTCAGTTGAGACTAAGAGGCCGGTCTGGTAAATGAAGGATAGCAGGAAACCTCTACAGGGGACCAGCAAGGAGAGGGACGATGGCCTTGGAGGACATTGGCTCATGCTGTACACCGGGCACCGATTCTATGTGAACTACCCACTCTACCTTAGTGACACCCTTCTGGAGAAGTTGTTACTTTCTCCACTTTCTGGGTGACGAAACAAGGCACACACAGTTTGTGGTGTTTGCCTAAGGTCCACGGTGAGTAATGTCAGAGTCCACACTGAGAGTGAACTTGAAATTTATGCTCTCTAGCATCCACTTTGCCACCGAAATGTGAATCAGTCCTTAGGGAAAGCCCTGAGAAATCGAGACTGTAGCACAGTAATTAATGGACACCAGGTCTCCTGGACTAGGAAGCAAAATGGTATACCTGGGTAAATGCTTTTCTGACAGAGACTGAGAGAACAATATTGGCTCATTTTCCAGAGAAACCAGTTACCCCAAACAGGCAAGAATGCCAGAGAATTCTTCCTAGCCACTGGCTCCTGAAGTCATGCTAGGCTTCTGGGCAGCCTGGCCTGCACTAGGCGAAGGTAGTTTGTACTCTCAGGGCTGATATCCCCAGCCTGATCTCCCAGGAAGCACGTTTCCAGGACCCAGCTTTCTGTCCTCAAAGGAACTTTGTCTGTGAGGGCTAATCCCCAGGTAAGCATTTCCTTTGCCAAGCTTGGCTCTCTCTGTATTCACTAGAAGATGAAAGCTGGGAAAGCAGAAAAATGGTTCCTACTCTGGATCATTTGTCTTTAAGTGCCATTTGCCATGACTTCCACCAAAGGAAAACAGAGGTAAAATCCTTACACTCTGGGCAAATGAATTTGCCATTTTTCTGGGGACATTGATTATAGCTTATCTAATTTTATAACAGATCTATCTTATCTATAAGAGACAATGTAGCATGAAAATCAGAAGAGATACTAGGGGCTTGGGAGGGGCATCACTTATTTTCAGGTAAGGTTTTGCATTACCTGAAATGCAAAATGCAAAATGATGCCATTTTTTCTCAGATACCTTAGGCTGACTAAGCAGAGGCTCTTCCTGTGGAGATCAGTGTTGTCACAGGTCTCAGAGAGCAAAGAAATAGTTCTCTGTCTTTTCTAGCTACACCTAACTATGAAAAAGGGCAGCAAATCAAGAATTAGAACCCTTCAATTGATATCTTAAAAAAAAAAACCCATGCCCTTTTGCTTTTGTGGACATTTATCAATTCTAATTTTCAACTCTTAATATTGGATTTCAGTGAGGGACACAGGACAACCTCATCAGCAATGTCTTCTAACAGCAGCCTGGTGTCATGTTCTTCTCTTGCTGAGTTGGAAGAGACTGAGTTTTTGGTGTCATCTGCAGGGAACAACGGTAGAAGACACCAGGACAGAGGAACCTATTTGTCTTGCTCCCACTACTGTCCCAAGTCACAGCCTCCGTGGACCTTGGTTTCTTGTCTTTGGTGTCCTTGCAGGTTCACTGACCTCCGGATTGATTGTGATTATTGGGTTGCATTTCTTTGTGGTCCTGACAGTTATTGCCTACGTTTTTTTGAGTCTATGGTGTGAGAGAGTTTAAGATCAGAGTGGCTATTTCCTTCTGCTGAACTACACTTAGAACTGGAAGGGGCTCCCTTTATCCCTCAGAAAATTCCATTTTCCTGAAAGTTTATTTTGTCTGATGTTAACAGAGGCACTTAAACCTTCACGGCAGTTGCTAATTGAGTTGGGTCTGCACTTCTTCCCCTGTCCCTTTAACCTTAGATGAGCTAAGGGAAGTCCTAGTTTTATTTTGCTGCTCTAAGAGTCACTGAATGAACCTTCTGAATTTGTGCATCATTGTCTTTCAACAGCTCAAAACCCTCAGTCATCATCTCAGGAAGTTTCTCTCTTTCTCTTCCTTCCCAGTCGCCTTGTCTCCCCACCCCACCCTCCACAACCGATCAGCAAATAGTGTTTTTAAATCACTTTAAAATTCAGTTTTTATCAAAGGCTGCAGTTAGTCAATATTTTTAAACCTCTCAAACAATATAAAATGTACTATTTGTTATATACCTATTTCTACTTTTTCTTGCAAGCATGTCCAGTCCACAGCCTCGGAGCGGCAGGCATCCAGGTTTAGCTAGGAATGCAGCCCAACACAAGATTGTAGACTTAACTTAAAACTTGAGGATACCATTGGTGATTGTTGTTGTTGTTGTGAATTGACTGCTTAGTTCTTCAGTGTGAACTTTGTAGACGACACCAGTTGTGTTGGGATGTCAAAGGTTGCAGTGGCCTGCAGAGCATGCCTCTGATTCTGAATGCTTTGCCTCCACTCTGCTGTGGGCACTATTGTGCTCCCATGTCCTACAGTGGCAGCTTTAATCCCTGAGCTGAGTCCCTCCCTGGGAATTGTCCCCTGATGAGGAGAATGGCTTCATTCATATCTCAGCTTGGTCAGCATGTGTGTGAGTGTGAGGAGATAAAGGTCCCCCCCCCCAACAAAAAGAGCAGAATAAATCAAAATTCTCTTCCTTAAAGATGGGCTAACTGTGGCGCCTCACCACTCCAGAGTTTTTGTGAGGTAAGGTGCTGCCTTCAACTGCCCACTCACTCAGCTTCTTTTTCTGACAGCTTGCTTCCTGTTCTCTTCAGCAGATGCTGCCTTTCAGAGCGTTCTTCCAGACACCTGCTGTGTGCACACTTCAAACTCATAGTCAGTTCCCAAGAACTCACTTAGGTCGAGGATCTACAGCCAATAATCATTTAGACTTAAGTATATATTTGCCATTTTCTTTGCTAGCAATTCCTTTTGTATTTGGGGTCAATTTCCTTCTGCTTGGACTATATCCCTAAGAATTTCTTTATGATAGAGTGTGTTGGGTAAAGAAGTCCTAACTTTCCCTTTATCTGAAAAACGATTTAATAAATATGCAATTATAGACTGACAATTGTTTTCTTGTAGCTCACTGAAGATATTATTCTAGTATCTTCTAATTGTCATTGTTTTCATTGTACACTTAGCTGTCGAATGAACTATCCACCTTTAAAGTCTAGAGTTCATCTTTGGTTACTTTTCAGATATATAAGAAATATATCTTCTGTATGTAGAGACCAAAAGGCAATGTCAGGTCATTCCTAGGAGTTGTTCAGCTTTTTTTTTTTTTTTTTTGAGACAGTCTCTCACTGGGACCTGGGACTCCCTGATTGGGCTAGGCCATCTGGTCCCCAGACCCCAGGGATCTTCTTCCTCTCCTGTCTCTGCCTCTCCCCAGCACTGTAATTACAAACGTGTGCTCTCATGCCCAGCTTTCGTTGTGAGTGCTGCATCCCTGACTCAACTTCTCATGTCAACTGAACCATCTCCCCAGCCCCCGGCTGCTGCTGGTTTTTCAAGACAGGGTTTCTTTGTGTAGCCTTGGCTATCCTGGAACTAGCTCTTGTAGATGAGGTGGCCTCAAACTCACAGAGATCCACTGCCTCTGTCTCCCGAGCATGGGGATTAAAGGAATACACCACTACACTTGGCTTAGTCCCTGATTTTAAAACATATTAAGTGTATTGTCTTACATTTGTGTCTGAGAATTTAATACATGAACTTGAACTTACTTTGGGTCTTGTCCTGCTGGCTCTGCTTTTGAGAACCTGTTGGATTTTATTTGTATGTATGTGTGTGTGGTTTTTTTTTTGGGGGGGGAGTGTTTCTCTCTCTCTGTCTGTCTCTCTCTCTCTGTCTCTGTCTCTCTCTGTCTCTGTCTGTGTCTCTGTCTCTGACTCTCTCTGTCTCTCTGTCTCTGTCTCTGTCTCTGTCTGTCTCTGTCTCTGTCTCTGTCTCTGTCTCTCTCTCTTGATGCTGGACACACGGTTCTTTATCCTGGAGGGTTGTGTCACTGCCTGCCTCTCAGGTCACATCAGTACAATTCCAGGTATGAAGTGTTTTTGGACCACCCAGGTTGCCAAGTTAGTTTCAAAACAGACACTAAGCCTGGTTTGGGCTTCCTTCCCATATCACCCTGCCCTAGTCCTTCTGGACTCTGAAAACCAAAGCTCAGGTTCGCCAGTCTTGCCAAACCCTGGAAAAGGGTGGTGGTACTTGGTGCCCGCTGAAAGCCCGCTTCTGTTTGCGTCTCTGAGGTCTTGCTCGCATTTAGCCTCTGGCCTCTTGCCAATTCACTGGTGACTTGGAGCAATGTATCATATTTTGTTACAGCTTGTCCTATTCCCAGGCTCTCCTCAGAGTAGCTGGCCTGTCAGAATGCTAGAGACGGAGGGCTCTTGACTCCAGTTTTCAATATCGCAGGAAGTAGTTTATTTAACTCAAAAGGAGTATTTATCCCACAAATAGTCTAGATTGCTCTCTGGAAATAGGAGGAAGAAAGTCTCCCAGATGCCTTGCTCTAGACTGTTGGAACCCAAAGCTGTTCTTAGGACGTTATTCCCTCTTTCCTTAATGGCTGGATCTAAATTGTGAGGTAGACCCCGAGTGTATGGAGCCTCTGTGTTGAATCTCGGCCTCGTGCATGGTCTTCCTGGTAAAGGACATAGTAATTCTTTCTTCCTCAGAGGGATGCTTGCTTGGAGTCTTTAAGAAGCTTCTAGAGCTTCTAGAGAAAAGGTCACAATAGCTGATTGGGAAGGGAGAAGCTTGATGTAAATATGAGTTTGATTCTGGAGGCCAGCCTATAACACTTCCTCAGAGGCCTGTGTGGACTCACATTTACCTCCTGCTGTCATCCCACAGTCTACACCCATTGCCTCTTATTTGATATAAATGAGAATTAATCTTATCAGGGGAGAGATGGAAGGGTAGTCTTCTGTGTTGGGGGCATAAGGCTACAGGACATTTTTTTTTTTACGATAGAAAGAGAAATGTAAATATCTGCATATATGTAAAGTTTGTTTAAACTCTTTACTTCTTTTTCCTAAGAGGTTTTAGGGACAGTGTCTATTTTCTTTGCTAGATCCATAAAAGGCACTTTGAAGTGTGTTCACAACTACCCCAAGGAACAGACAAAAGCACGCTGAAGTGGCCTATACTCAGGAGAGGTGGAGCTCCCCCCCACACTTAGTACTTGTGAACTCACTACCTCCAAGAAACCAGAGTTGCTGGAGAAGATGCAGATTCCCCGTCTCCACAGCAGAACAGCATTGTTCCTTTCCTGTGTAGTGACTGTGCATGCTAAGTTTGAATTACCATAGGAGGAAGGTCAGGTACGATCATTAGAAGTGGCTATTTGTGCATCAGATATCTTTGACTAATTTTTAATGTTAAAAAATTCACTAATGTAAGCTTCGCTGTGTGATCTCTTACTTTGCTTTGGCTCTCAAACTTGAGTCTAATTGGAACCTGCCTGGTAATTTTTTTTTTTAAACTAACTGTTGGGATATGGATTAGAAAAAAACAAGTAAAATCACTAGAAACCTCACATTTCCATACAATCTCTTTCAAAGTGCTTTCAAAACTAAAGCCACAACTGGCACAGAGGCACATAACTCTAGTCTCTGCACTTGGAAAGTCTCTACTTTCTGAGAACTTCCGGAGAACTCTGAATCCCAGGTCAGCCTAGATGTATAGAACATAACAAAACCTGTCTCAGATAAACCACAGGCTGAGGATGTGGCCCAGCGTAGAGTGCTTATCTGTCATGAACAAAGTCCTCAACTTGATCCCTTATATGCAAATCAATATGTCCATGGATCTATCAACCCATTGATCCATCCATCCACCCATCAATCAGCTAATCAAAGAAACAAAAACCACAAAAATTCATTCACTGGCCTTTCCATGCCAATCTGCAAAGTTAAGCAGAATATATATTGATATTCCTGTTGTGAGATATTTGTATACTGTGCAAAGCTGTGTCTCTGTGATTAGTGTAATAAAGAGCTGAATGGCCAATAGCTAGGTAGAGATGAGGAGATGCCAGCGGAGTTGGAGCAAGTTGTACATGCTGTACTGAGGAAAGGTAAAAAGCCATGTGAGTTAATTTAAGTTATAAGAGCTAGTTGGAAACAAGCCTAAGCCTAAGCTAAGGCCAACCTTTCATAATTAATAATAAGTCTCCATGTCATTTGTGGGCTGGCAGTCTAAGAAAGCCCGATGAGATGGAGTCCAATGTGGGGCACATAACTCCACATAAGGTTTGAGAAAGAAAAAAAAAGTTCTGAGTAGGCTCTGTGCTTGTAGCATCCACAGGTATGTCTCTTTTAAGAGGTCCTGCTACTGAGCACTTGAATGGGATTTATAAGCAACAGCCAGCACACTACTTGGTGAGAGGAGACTAGGTATAAATGCCTACTGGAGCTGGAACAGATAGATGACCTCCAGGCTGGGGCTGCAGGCATGAGGTTCCCTCTCACTGACTCAAAGTGGATGGAGTCAGCTGCCAGGCCATGTGCTAAGCGAAGCCACACAGAGGAGGGCCTAGCTGCAGCTTAGCAGTTTAAGGTTTGGCTCACATGGTTAGAGAACATTGCAAGTGTGCAGTTTCAGGAGCTTAGAAAGCCAGGTCCAGGCCAAGAAAATCTCTGAACAGACGTAATATGCTTAAAAATGTGCCTAGTTGCTGAAGGAAGAAAAATGGGTATAGACAGTCATAAAAAGTAAATAATTTAAAAATAATAAAACAAAGTCTTTAAAAGAGAGAATAAAGTAATATAAAAGAAAAAAGCCATGTAAAGATGGGAAATACACAGGGTGTCTGGATTCTGTGTGGTGTTTTGTTGGCTTTGAATTTTTAAAATGCTAATGAACAAAAAACAATAGCTACTGAGAGACATTGGATTATGGAATATGCTAAATTAAACAACCTATATATTTTAAGACTGTCTTAACTTCAGAATAGAAGTCAGAAAATATGTTACATTGAGGGAGAGGTTTTGCTTTTGTTTCTAGAGGAAACAAAAAGCCATGGATTTCTTCAAAATTAATAAAGACCAAATTTGACCAGGGAAGACCTCCTAGGGATCTTGACTACAGACATGAGGGAAAAAAAACAAGAAAGATACAGGACAAGTGATGTATATATTGATCTCTCTACATGGATGAGAAATGATAAATCTTGTTGGCTACAGAATCCTCATGACAGTTCGATTATACAGTCCAAACAGACTTATAAAGCTGACAGATGCCTTCTACCTGCTCAAACATAGAACAAACAATCATCTTTAGCTGACTTTTGCACATTGCACAGTCCATACTTGTGTTAATTCAGATATGTATGTTAACTTTAAAAGTTTATATATTTTCAGAAGAAAAGAACTGGACATGAATAAGGACACGTGATCCAGCCTCACAGAGCGCCTCTGTTGCAGTTTCCTCAAAAATCTACATCTAGAACAATTTCAAAGCTGCTAACTGAGATTGTCCAGCCTCACGGACTACTCCAGCCAAGACTTCAAATAAGCCTTACACTTTTCCATTTTACACAGAGACTGGACAACAAATGATATAGCTAGCCCTCCCAGGACTTGATCATTAATTCAATTTTCTCAGGGTCCCCTAAAGATATCATCCCCTCAACAACAAGAAGTAATTTTAAGAACACAATGCCCACATTCCCAAGAGGTAGGGTGGGTGGTTTTTGTTTATTTTGAAGGGGTATGGTATTTATCATCATTTAGTGGGGTTGGTTGCAAGTTGTTACTTGTCATGGTAAGGGAGGAAATTAAGCAAAGGAGATTAGAATTAGGGATCTTGTTCTGAAAAGAAAAAAGGAGGGATATAAGAATCACAGGACGAAAAGGTAGATTATTAAATCTACTTTTAAACCGAAAAGCAGCTACTAGTCTCAAATATTTTACATTGATAGAGATTTTTGTATATTGACACAAATTTAAGGTTATTTTTGTTAGAACGTGGTGTATATATATTTCTACTCTTTTGTTAAGGTATTGTATCTATGTAGATCATTTTAAAATGTAATGTAAAGTCCTAGTCTTTAAAAGTTACTTAGGATGATAAAGAAATGCAGGTTAGTAGTTGGTCATCTATAACATCAAACTTGTAGTCATGTTAGGTATGTTTTCAAGGTCAACAGAGATAATATTTAGATAGATAGATGGTCTTCAAACACTTTAGAGACCCACAGAACATGGCATTTAAGATGTTTTAATAACATAAGGCTTTTCATGACAGTGAGACATGTCTGATCCTGGCAGCACCAATCTACTTCAAAAAAGGATGATGGGCATCAAAGAACCTCCATATGGAGATTGCTTCCAATGTGGCAAAGTTAGCCACTGGCAAGAAACTGTCCTTGCCTTGACTGCTGACAGTATACTGTCCAAATTGGACAAGCAAGACAGAAAATAAGGTGACTACCAAACTTTGCCAAGACAAGGTAGGATAGTCCTTAAAAAATTACTGCTTCACAGAAAAGTCTGTCAGATATTATAGGCCTATAGGCTGAAGATGGATGCCCCACACTGCAGAGGAACCATGGGTGATTGTTTGGTCAGCCAGTTGTTTCTGTCATTTCTATAGTTTTGGAGTTTATTTATTCTGCACTCTCTGCTTACTCAGGTAATATTATATCCTTCTCAGATCTTTGATGGGTTTGGAGACTAGATAGTTATAGTTACAGTTTTCCTTGTTACCAAATTTAGAAAAGAAACTTACATAAGAGATATAAAGTGCTTAAGGTTAAAAAACATAAAAGCTTAATTTGTTTATCTAAAAAGATGTTTTAAGATTAAAAAAAGATATTTTTAGGATGGTAATACAAGCTATGATAAAAAATGATTTATCAAGACAGGATGGATAATAGAATATTTTCTTCAAATATGCCAAATGCAAATGAGCTGGACATTGTGAATGTAATTCTTACCTGATAATTGTTCTTATTGTATATAGTTTTACTGTATTGGAGTTAAAACCTTTCCTTTTTATTTAGACAACAAGGGGGAGATGTGGGATGTTTGTGCACTGTGTGAAGATGTGTCACTGTCCTTGGTTTAACAAACAGCTGAGTGGTCAATAGCCAGGCAAGAGAGGCGGGGAGATGCCAGCAGACTCAGAGCAAGTCGGCCGTGCCATGCTGGGGAAAGGTAAAGGGCCACGTGACAGAATGTAGATTAAAAAATATGGGTTGATTAAGTTATAAGAGCTAGTTGGAGATAAGCCTAAGCCAAGGACAAGCTTTCATAATGAATCACAAGTCTCTGTGTCATTATTTGTGGACTAGTGTTCCAAGAAAGTCCAATAAGAAAACATACTACATATTCCTATTTTCCTAAAGTAGAAGACTGAGACTCAGCTATGTGTGTTGATTTGTTCAAGCTTGTGAATGTGGACAGTGGTAGGGTCAGCTTCAGAGCCCACAATTCTCTGTCTGTCCTCCCTTCCTTCTTCCTCTCCCATCACTTTTCTGCTTCCTTTGCCTTCCTCCCCCTTCTTTACTTATCTCTTTCACTGTCCTTTCCACTAATCAATGTCAACCAAATGGCCTCTTGTTGTCCTGTGTCCTAACTATTGCAGACATAGGTACATTTACCACTGTGCAGAACTTCAGTTTCTCTGTCTACCAACCTTATTGCAGGGAGCCCCTTACCAACCATGTGCACTTGCTTGTTAGTGTTTTTGTAGAAAGAGACATGTGGAGGAAAGCGTAGGGGATGTTTTGCCTAAATATACTTTTTTTGTGTGTGTCTTTTACTTTCCCATACTTTCACCCTATTGATTGTCTAAAGCTAAAAACTTTCAGAATAAGGGACTGTTTTTTCTGCCTTTTCTGCCCCCCAAGGACACATGCCCATACCCACCAAGAGTGGGCTATGTATGTAGTTTGCAGAACAGTTGAGGGAGATGTCAGCCTAACTGGAACCTTCACCCATCTTTTACTGAAACAGTGAGAGTTGCTGTTCTGCTTACCCAGCACAGAGAGAACGCTTTCCCACTTCCACAGTTAATCTGATCAATGAAATCACTTGCTCTCCCAAATCCCTCTAACACTGAGACATGACTGTTGAAGCCAGAGTCACTGTTTAAGACACTCTTCATTTTCTGCAGCCTTTGCCATCAGAGAAAACAAGGTGTTTTCCCTTCTAACGTCCCTGCAACTTTACAAAGTCTTTGCCATGCTTTCTCATCCACCCTCAGTTTCTCCTCCCCCTCCAGGGCATAGGCATGGCAGCTACGTTCACAGAGCAGAGGGAGTGGATCCATTCTGCTTTCAAGGAGCCTTCAAACATCATTGTACTTTCTTGAGTACGTTCTTTAAAACCACTGCTTCCTCTCACTCAGCAGTGGACAAGGGCATTCCATAGCTTCTCCTCTCTAGGTCTGTGATGAAAAGGTCCTCAAGGTGAGAGGATGCATTTGTGCCCGACTCTGGCAGGATGCAAACAGTTCTGGCCCACCAGCTGCCTGATCAAGTGATTTAGCTGCTGAGCATGCCTGCAGCCTGAGCTAGGGATATGAGCTGGCCAACAACCATGTCTAAAAATAAGCCAGTGACCATATTCCACCTGCCCTACTGTGGCCTAGAATGCTCCTGTGGCATTTCCACATGCAGGGCTGGGAGGGTGCAGGCTCATGTAGGAAGCTTTTCTCTCTTCTGTCTCCTTGTTGATACAAAGCCTGCCATTTAGGAAAACTGTTGCTGGGTGCTGGCACTGGTGTGGCACCATCCTGCCCAGAGTCTTATGCAGGAAAGCAATGAAGTCAGCCTTACCCTTTTTGGCTATCTTAATAGATATTTTGCATGAAAACTTCCGGGGCTAATTGTGGTGAAAATGTGCCAGGTAGACCCCTTTCACGCCAACTATAATTAATAATGTTATAGCCTTCAAGGCCATAATGTTCATCAGTTATTAATTAGTAATTCATTTTGTTGAATAAATAATACTTATGATTAATGATAGAACTTGTAATTGGACACTAGAAGTGGCCCTCTTGGGGCTGGCATACCAGCAAGTATTAAACTATGGTACAGTAATGATAAATACAGCAGATCATCTAGGAAAATCCAAGTTAAATAATCGTGACACAACCAAGGTGCTCCTTCTCAACATGAGAAGGATCTGTTGTCAGGGTCCACACGTGTCCTGGGCCTGAGCATCTTAATTGTTTCTGTCCTGTACACCACTGGGTTTCCATTTTCTCCTGAAACTTGCTATCAGCCACCCTACCTCCTCCACCTCTGCAAAGCAAACTGTTCTTTGCTAGACAACCTATTGACTTTGTATTACTCGTATAATAGGTGCTTTCAAAAATATTGCCAGGACACAAGCACTCATACTCTGAGAGTGGGGGTGGGGAGAAGAAATGCTTTTCCGAAAAGGTAATGATTGAAATTTTTATTTGAAATGATTCCTTAGATTGAATTCACTTTAGATTAACAGATTTTCCTGCTCAATTGATTTTCTGGCATCCATGCAGTGATCCAGCAGAGATAAAATGGGGGTTCGTTTAGTCCACTGCTCAGAGGGAAACCGCAAGCCTGGCAAATGGATGCAACAGCACTTCCTTCTGGCCTGCTCGGTGGGAACAGGAGCAGGACAACCAGATCCGGCCAGCTGCTGACCAGATGCCGCCTTCAATTAATATTCCAACCCTCAAAGACATTCCCTGCTCCCTCTCGAAAGCAGAGCAGCTGAGTAATAAAGAGACTCACTAAAGTCCTAGGTTATTTTTTTTCCAGAGAGCATTTATAATGGCTAAATTGCTTGAAATAAATTAGCATGAAAAATAAACATAGTTTGTACAGTATCTGTAAAACAAATCCCCAATCTTGGGGAAATAGAGAGACAAAGTCGAGCTCGCGTTTAACAAGCACACACACTATGCTTCATTAAGACAGAGCCTCTTTCTCTCTTTCTTTTTTTTTTTCCTTTCCCCAATTTAAAAAGGGTTAATAAACTCGAAGATATCATTGCTAGTTAAAGAGGTCCTGCACCATTTTAAGGGAAGTAGGAGGCTACAAAGGAGACAGTTAAAAAGAAACCAAGAGGCTGTGTTGTAATGCTAACAGGCAATTAACAAACTCATGGGTGTTAATTATCTTCATACTGTATCATGTTCAATTAGCTTAGGCTCTGCAACCAAGGCGACGACGAACAATTGCTTTGATAGGCGTACAGTACTTCATTTGTAGTTAATCGGTTTAAGCCCTGCAGTTGCTAGGTTACCTGTCTCCAGAGGTAAAAGGCTATACAGATGCACTATGTTTAAATGACTACAGAGAACTGTTTAAACTCAAACCATGTATAACTCTTTATTGATTTCTCACAGAAGATCTCAGCTCTGATGATAAGGTTTTGATATATTTTCCTGCTACAGCCGGTTCCTTGGAGTATTGCAGAAAAAAAATCTGTCAATATGCTTCTATTATGATCTCTTGATCTGTGCCTATAAAAACCTTTAGCCGCAGCCCTTATTATAAATAATGGAAGAAGCAATAGCTGATTTTTTTCCACACCATACTACATGGAGATTTTTTTTTCTTCTTCTTCATTGCCTTTAGATCCAAATCACAGGACTTCTGTACCCATGCTCTAAAATAATAAAGGAGATTTTTCTAGCTCTAATTAATTTGATTGACTCTCAGCAGGACGGGATCAGCTGTAGCATCATGAGCTTCAACAATAACTACCAACTGATGGGCAGTTCACATCAATAAGACCATCACTGGCCTCGCTCTCACCTGTCACCAGGCAGGGAGTGAGCAGTAACTAGCCCCCCGCAGATGCTCCCCACTTAGTGCTTTCTGCCCTATTAGCAATTTATAATGGTGATCAAGAAACAGTCAGAGCCGAATCAAGACAACTGTCTGGCTGCCTGTTTAATTGGCCTTGTTTGCTTTTTGATAAATGGCTTGTGACTACTCGAGGCCCCTGTATTTTGACTTTTAATAGGCCACAGTGATTAGGCTACCAACAGATACTAGGTCAAAACCAAGGAAAGGTGCAAAAAATGTTAATTAATATCAATAATAGGCAATTATTAGTTAGACAGAAGGACCTACTAGCTGGATGCTCTAATGGCTCTGAGCTAACTGGAAGAGAAGCCCTGCCAAATTAGCATAACTGTATGCGGCCTGCATGGTGGATCCTAGCAAACATCTGTTATGTTAGTAATTCAAATAGAATTCCTGCCTCTCCTGCGATGGCGCAGAGTCAGCAATCCCTGTTGGCCATTTGAAGGCACTAACAATACCCTAGTGGCTGGTGTCCCTCCAAATGGGCTCTGTTTCAGGGGAAGAATTAAATTGCACCTTTTCTTTGAGAATGTGCCATTGAGGAGCTTAAGTGGGTCACTGTCCTCTGGTCAGCAGAGGGTGGAGGAGGAGGGTTTTATGGGTTGGACATCATACTGACCTTAGAAGGACATACTAAGTGGTCCAGCAGACCCAGGGAAGGATGTGAGCTTTCTACGTTTGCCTTTTCACAACTGACACTGAAAAACATGGCTGTGTCCAACACACCACATGAAATGCTGCTGCAATAATCCCCACAGCATGATTCTTTATTATTCATTCCCTGAAAAGTGTGTGTTCATGTGTGCGCGTGCGTGCGTGCGTGTGTGCGTGTGTGTGTGTGTGTGTGTGTGTGTGTGTGTGTGTTGCATACATGCATTCGTGTGTGTGTGTGTGTGTGTGTGTGTGTGTGTGTGTGATATGTATTCACATGCACACCAATAGAAGGTTGCCATCTGTTTTGAAGTGTAGAAGGAGGCAAGGCGGGTCCGAGTTCTGAGATGATGAGGTGACAGGCACTCTGAATGCTATCCCCTACACTTGTCATCACCATTAAGGTCACCTTGGGGGAAGTCCAAATTATAGTGAGGGAATGTTGGAAGGGATTTAATGTTCCAATGAAGAAACTCAAATCCAGACAGGTCACAAGTCATCTTCAGGGCTCCCCAGTTGCTTTGGGGAGCTGACTGGAAGAGGGGCCAGTTCTGCTGGTCCTGCCCTGCCCTTCCCTTCACCCTATTGCCCCCTGTAAGAAGCTGTATATTGGATGTGCCTTCCCATGGGAGGCCTTGCCTTCTTGTGGGGAGGAGTGGGGGGGGGTTGGGAGGGGGAGGCTGGGGGTCAGTAAGAGGAGGGAAGAGGGGGATCTTTGGTGTGTAAAATGAATGGAAAAATTTTCTTAATAAAAAAAGAAGAAGCTGTATATTTCTGTCTGTAACTTAATGTCTGGTAGATCTTTTTCCTAAAAACATGTTTGTAATGTAAATGTGGGATATTTGAAAAAAAATGTTTCTCATTGTATAAAAGAATGACACTTCAAAATAGCATGTTCTAAACATACTCTATTTTTTAGAATAAAAAAATTTGGTTATAAGATTCTACAATCCACAGCCATCCTTCAAAAATGTCATATGTTTTCATGGGAGGCAAAGCTTTTCACATTTTTTTTTCCAGAGAGGGGTAGGTCACAACTGTTGTTCTTTATTTTAATTTGAGCTTTTCTTACACATTTGTTCTGAACCAAACAGGGGAAGGAGCTGCGTGCTTTGCCCTTTCTCTTCCCCACAGAGGACTGACATTTAAGACCCATTTGATTAAACATTCTCAAGATCTTTAAAAGAGCTCCCTCCCCACCCCATCCCACAATGGGATCTGTTTCTTGAAAGACTGAAATTGAAATTATCATTAATTCAGGGTTCCCCTTTTCTCATCCTTTATTCCTATCCTATCCCCTCCACCCTAAAAGAAAGCCTCCCACCCCCACCCCGCTGCATCTTGTTGCTGTTGTTTGTACTTTGTGCCGAACCATCAGTAAAACAGGTTTTCTTTTCCATCTCCCTTTCTGCATAAATGCTCCCCCCCAAAAAAAAACCAAACAAACAACAAATCCCTGCTTTTTCACCAGTGAGAAAGCTATTATGCATCTTTAAAGCTAGAGCTTTTAAATAATTCATTTCTGAGAATAAGTTTTCTTCTTTTTTATAAATGATGGAGAAATACGATATTTTGGTTTTTTATTTTATTTTATTTTATTTTTTACTCAACAAATATTTGTTGAGCACTGGGCCAGAATGTAAAGGAGTCAGAAAGATTAACAGTCAGAGCAGAACATGTACAAATCCATGACTTCTTACCATGGGGGACTTTTTAGTAAGCATTTTCTGTGTGCTTGTCTCTCAGTCTCCTAAGGACCCAGTGATGGAACTGGACACATGCCTGTTTTACAAAGAAACCAAGACTTGGTGAGTTCAAGGGAGTAAAAAGAGGGACAGTCTCCACTAGAGTGTAAATGCTTAACCCTTTCCTCTCTGCAATCGCAATCGCTCGGTGAAGGTACAGAGTTTGCGAAGTGACACTGGAACTCCTGAGTCCTGATGTCTCTGTTGTCTGTGCTGTGGGTGTGCGTCCCCTGGCAGTGTTACCGTGAACTGTAAGCTCTGCTGTTTCTAAAGGGAGAGGAAATTCTACCCATTTTGTTTCAACAATTGAGGTTTTGGTTATTTTTATCCCTCTAGAGTTAACTGTGATCTACATGTGATGTAACCTGAACTGGACTGAACCTAGGACGTGAATGGCTGCATCCTGTGTCATTTACCACAAAGGCAGAAAATACAGCTAAGCGGCGGCATGGTGCTTTCTGATTTTAAGTGAAAACTGTTTTTACACAATAAAAGCTCAACTTAGCTGGATATTCCTTAAGTTTTTCGTTGCTATGTGTGACTCCTATAACGGACAGAAGAGAATATGAATGAAGTAAGTTAGGGCATTTCTAAAACTTGCCATTTGAAGTTCAACTCTTAAGTATTCAGTTCAGGGCTGTCTACAACCATGTTTTTCTACAGCATGTTTTCTTCCAGGCCATGAAGAACATCAAGAACACTGGTGATACATACAGCCTCCCTCCCTCTCTCCCTCCCTCTCCTCCTCCCTCCCCTTCCCCTACCTTTCTCTTTTCTACTTGTCTCCCTCTTTCCCTCCATCCCTCTCTCCTACGTTATTTTTTTTTTTTTATCATTTGAGAATTCCGTACATGTGTATAAGGTTCTTCTCAAATCCACTCCTCATTCCCTCCCCTCCCCGGCTTCCCCTCCCCAATCACTTTTCCCTCTCAAGTCCTTGTGCTCTTTGTTTATGTGAAACCCACTGAGTCCACTTAGTACTACCAGTGTGTGCACGGGTGTGGAGCCACCTCCTGGAGCATGGGTAGCCTCTCGGGGGTGCATCCCCAAAGGAAACAGATGTTCCCTCTTCCAAAGCCATCAGTTGCCAGTTCCTGTTCAGCTAGGAGTAAGTGGGACTTCTTGACTTCCTCTCTGTTCTGAACCGCTTTTTGTTGTTCTGGTCTGGCTTGTATTCTTCCTCTTTGTCCTGGCTGTCCAGATACTTGTTGTGTAACTCCGCCTGGCTTTAAACTTGCAGCAGTCTTCCTGCCTCAACCTCCCGAGTGCTGGTATCCCAGGCATGCATCACACACCTGGGCTTCTCAGCACTCTCAAGCTGCCCTCCACCGTCCCCGTGACTTTCTTCCTTGCTAAAGACATCATTCTGCAAGTGCCAGGCTCGTATTTAAAGCATTGCCTATGTGGACAGACACCACCAGCGCTGGCAAGATTGCAGCCCCGCTGATTCGGACAGCAAAGCACATCTGGATTTCAGTGATGTTAATATGAGCAGATACATCTTAGATCCACAGGATGCGTTAGC